CTCACGTGACATACTAGCGCTGCCAAGCATCACAACCATCCTCGATCCATCGAAACTTCGTACTAGCACATGACCTGCAGTGCGCTGCTTACCTCAACACCGTCTCCATGTAGATTAAAACATCTTCGGCATTGACCCAAGTCACCACTCAAAGCACCTGAGCCAGCATCTTCGATCCCCTGAAGAATTCAAACATTGTCATCATCGATGGCATCATCTGCCCGCTCGTGTTTTATATGGCCAAGAGGTATATGGTGTTGGCATCATCGTATAGTCGTACTGTTATGGTAGTGACAGTTTTTATCCGGCCGTCGAGACTTACCAAGAGGCCGTCGCGGATGCTGAATCCGGCCATCAAAACGAACGGTCCCTCGCCGGTGGGTATGTGGGTACAACCTCGTTTCGGCTTCATCAATCAAAATGCTACGATTGGACACGCCGCTCGAAGGAACCTGACAGCTGCAACAAAATCCTGTCAAACGTCAAACAAGAACGCACTGCAATATACTGTGGTACTACTGTGGGAACTAGAAATTTGCCAATGGTCTTGGGTCCTCAATTCGTCTTTAGTCAAGTAATCGCCATGCCGGATTCTTGCGACTCCCTCAACTTTCTTCTCTTGTACCTGTATTTATTTGTCTTTTTTTCCTGCAGCAGCGCTGCATGTGCTTATTGCCATGTTTTTCAATTCGACTTCCCACCTACTGGCCGCTCGTCATATCCAGTCCGATGACAATGTCCAGTATACAATCGATTACTGGGGCTATGCGGTGCGAAAAATGCCATGCACCAACGACAAAGGAACCTGTGAATACCTGGATTCCGTCTATAGCGACCACGAGACATCAATGATCTTCACCTTTGTCATGTGGGCAGTTATCGGCCTCATCCTCCTCTTGTTCATTGTATTTCGATTCGCGCGCCCGCAGAAACAGAACAGCCCAAGACAGAGCTTTGTATATCGCTTTGCAAGACTGGCATCATCAGCTGTTCGCAAACACCTATTGCCCGAGTGCTCGAAAGTATTCAAGTATACCACTAGGCTGCAGGTATTGGTACTTGCCTTGCTTTGCGCCTACCTCACAGCCTTTTCTTTTGCTGGTATCACATACAAGACGTGGGTTACGCCAATCAAGGACAGCAACTTGCACAATACTCGCACCAGTATGGGTGGGTTCGCTGACCGTATTGGTGCCTTTGCCTTTGCCCTCACTCCATTGACCATTGCCTTGTGCAGCCGCGACTCGATCCTCAGCATGGTCACAGGCATTCCCTACCAGAGCTTCAACTTTTTGCACCGTTGGACAGGCCGCATCATTCTTGTCCAGTCATTCGTTCATGCCATCATCTGGACTATTATCGAAGCAAAGCTTTACCAACCACAACCTACTGTCTATACCAAGTTCATCAACCAAAAGTACATGGTCTGGGGCTGCATTGCACAAGCCTTCATCACATTCTTATTCGTCTTCAGCCTCCGACCCGTGATCCGCTGGACGGGCTACGAGTTCTTCCGCAAGTCGCATCTCCTTGTCTCCATCCTTTACATTGGAGCCTGCTGGGGCCACTGGGAGAAGCTTTCGTGCTGGATGATCGCATCGTTTGCCATCATGGGGTTCGATTTGGTTGCCCGAAGTATTCGCACAATTCTCATCCACACTGGTTACCAAGAAAGGGATGGTGGCTTTGGCTTCCGCTCGTCTCCAGCAATCCTGGATACCTTCAAGGATCCTACGGGCACTATTGTTCGCATGACATTGTACCACAAGCATAGCCCTTGGGCAGTTGGCCAACACTTTTACCTTACCTTTCCTGCACTCAACATGTGGCAGTCGCATCCCTTCACACCAGGCTCTAACCCAAATGGCTCTTCTCCCCTACAGCACCATACCTACATCATCCGCGCCTGCAAGGGCGAGACGGCCAAACTCGCTGCTCTTGCCGATGCTGCTGAAAACCGCTATCCGCGCATCCAAGCATCTACCCCCGTCATCATGATGGGTCCGTATGGCAGCTCCGTCATCAGCAACGAAGCTTCCAACATTCTTGCCATATGCGGCGGCACAGGAATCACCTACACTCTCCCCGTCATCATGAACGCTCTCTCCTCCTCTTCACCCGCCCGCAACATCGAGCTCATCTGGACCATCCGCCACATCGAGAACCTCGCCTGGATCGCCCCCGAACTCGCATATCTAAAATCCCAGCTCTACCAGAGCGACGAAGCAACCGGCCTTAGCAGCAGCGACACCGAGAAGAAAGACGACGCCCCAGTCGTATCCGTAAGCGCAAGCAAGCGCTTCCGCATCCGCATCTTCGTCACCAGACCAGAGACTACACAACAAGACGCCTCACCCCAGCTCGACAGCGACAAAGGCAAAGGCAAAGACTACGGCGACGCATTGGCGCTGGAACCAGTGTCTTCCATCGAATCCATGGATGTCAACCGCCAGATTGACGAACTCAAGCGCGAATGTCCGGATTTCAGCGTCACGTGGCTGAGCAATGCACGCCCGGATGTAGCGTCTCTGGTCTCCAATTTCATGAGCGAGACGGTGGAGAGCGGGCGGACGCAGGTTGTAGGCTCTGGGCCACCGGAGCTGGGCACGCGGATTCGAAGTGCGGTTGCGGCGCAGAATGTGCCTGGGGGAGTGTGGAAGGGGGAAGAGAGGGGGGACGTGGAGTGTGTGTGGGATGATCGGATGGGGTAGATGGGGGTTTAAGTTAACTTCACTGTAGATATTTTGTTGGGGGTTGTCGAAGTGTATATATTGAACAAAGTAAGGATGTGGTTGGTGGCCTGGTTACTACTACTCTCTCTCTCACACAACTTGCGCTTGGTCAGCGTGACGGGATGTGAAAAAAAAAGACCGGACCAACAGGCGTTGTGGGAATAGGCTGGTGTTTTTTTTTGCTCGGGAATAATGTCTCAAGGGAAGAGCAAAACCCGGGGCTGATGATATTCCAAGAGGAACATGTTGCATCTCAAAGCTGCATAACGCGTGATGTCACAGAGGCCCATTTTAGCATATGCATACCAAGCACCATTTTCTCCCCTTCCTTCTGGAAACCAACCTAACCAACCTAACCCAACCGCACACCAGGGGTCCAGTCCAGTCCAGTCCAGTCCGGTACAGCTAGGCTACCTTCGTATCCCCTCCCCCCCGTAGCGCCCAAGCCCTGCGCTGTACTCTACACCGATAGTCCCCCTCGCCCTTAGCCCATTCAGGCAACCCTCCTGAACAGCAATGCCTCTCAGCTAACTACGTGGACACACATTGTGCCTTTTCGGGCCTATTTAGCTGATGCATACTACTGCGCATACTATATTATTGTTGTGTGTTATTCCGGTCATGCGATTGGCAACGCAATCAAGGAATGATTTAATATTAGAACAGAGTACGTAGTAGGTGTGATGTATGCAGGCAATGCAAGAAAAAAAAATGCCGAGGTAAGGAAAATGACTCGAAGGAAGAATGATGTCAGAGGACTACGCGGCCGTTTCGGGGAATAAGTTAGTCTGGCAATGTAGTTACGTAGACAGGGAGAGGCTTGACAATTTTTTTGTGTAACCGAGAGTAAAATAACCAAGGCAGGAGTTGCGATTGCGTGAAAGAGTGGGATGGGAAAGAACTGGGGAATATGGCAAGGTAGCCGGCAAAGACGGGCTTGGCTGGTTAGGCCCCAACGACAGGGGGTGGGTGGGGTGGTGTCGACGGCGAGATCGGCGTAGGGCTGGGGTTTGGGTGTGGGTATGGCCAGCCAGGCACGCAGCCAACCCGCAGCACAGCATCATCGCACAGCCCGTTTTTTTGCCTTTGCCTCATACCCGCGCCACAAGCTAGTTTGGTAACCCAGAGCCACAATTTATTCCACATTGCGGTGCGTCATTGTCTTAGCCGTCGAATCCTTCGGCTGAGGTGAGCTCGGGGTCAGCTTGGTGGTTACCCTTCAAGAGGAGACACGGCCGACGTTGCTATGTGTGTGTGTGTGTATGGCCTGAGTCAAGATGAAGTCGGGGACATGTGACGACATGCTCGTTTCATCACCTGTCCATGGGCTGGAAAGGGCTCCAGAGCGCCCGAGATGCACGGCCAAGGCTTGGATGGGGGTTGCCCTAACAACAAGGTGGATCGGCGGGACGTTGGAATCGCGTTTCCCACTGCAAGCCCGTTGTCCAACAAAGGCTGTGTGTGTAGTTGACGAGTTAGAAACAAGGGCAGTGGCAGTAGTTACTGTTAGTAATATTGCTATTGCTGTTCTGTTACTAGGTCTAGGGAGATGGCAGGGTCCCTTCTTTGACTTTGAGATGGTGCTGACGGGGCGAAAGCTTGGCCCAACGACGGACTACTATGCTCGGGGCAGGGCGAGTTTCAGCTCGGGAACAAGGCTTTTTCTGTGCTGGAAATAGCATCTTACTCTAGACCGTAAGGTAAGGAGAGGCAGTGTTTGGGGATCAGACGAGGGAATGACATGCGATCACACAAGCCGTGTCCGCGGACCTTGGCTGCAACATGGGACAAGGAAATTGGGAACGTAGTATTGACCTCTTAGACGACGTCATGAGCTAGGGACGAATTGATCGCCCAGCTCACTTGCAACTCGTCCGCCCGTGGGAGGACGAGTAGAGTGGAGACGGGTACGGCTGTTGCTGTCTTCCGACAGGCTGGGGGAGACGAAAGAGGCGCGACATGTGGCGTCACCCGCTGCCGCTTTTCCCAATTTTAGCCTCGTGGGAAAAAGTGGAGGAGGCGGTGCGTAGTGTGCATTGCAGGTAGCCAGCCAGGCCAGCACACTGTTTTGTTGCCCCGATGGGCTGTGCCTGCGATTGATTGACGGCGCTAGTACTATGCTCGCGGCTGGTATAAGAGCCCTTCACGTCGCCCAGTCTTGCTTGTACGCTCCATTCCACATCAGATACCCACACTCCACCATCAACACTTGATTCAATTCTCCTCGACTCAACCGTCAACCACACACACCCCCAACCCACCATCAAGATGCGTTTCTCCTACATTGCCACTGCTCTCTTCGCCGCCGGCGCTGCCAACGCCCAGGTTGACAGCATCATCGCCTCCCTCACCTCTGCCGCCGGCAGCCTTCCCTCCAACGTCGCCTCCGACGTTGAGAGCCTTGCCAGCCGTGTCACCTCGGGCGCTGCTGGTCTTCCCTCTGACGCTGCCTCGGCCGCCTCCAGCATCGGTTCCCAAATCACCTCTGGCGCTGCTGGCCTTCCCTCTGATGTCGCCTCCCGCTTCTCCAGCATCGCCTCAAGCGCCAACGCTGCTGCCTCATCTATCCGCTCCGAGGCTGGCTCTGCTTTCAGCTCGGCCACAGAATCTCTCGGCTCGGCAGCTTCCTCTGCCACCTCATCTGCTGGTTCCCAGGAGACTGGTGCTGCCAACCAGAACGCTCTCCCCGCCATGGGTGCCGCTGCCGCTGGTATCTTCGCTCTTGCCGGCCTCCTATAAGTGCTACTAGATGGATTCTAGCAATTCTTTTTGTCGATAAATCATCTTCATCAGCATCATAGTTCCCTCCGATAGTTTCTTGCATCGGCTAGCGATGCGCGGCCAAGAGCTGGCGTCGCTTTGTCTCAAACAAACGAGACATTAGGGATAAGAATGGATTCATGGCGAAACTGGGGTATATCCAGACGTTCTATATTGTAATATTAAGTCATTTCAATGGAGATATTCAAAGCTCATTTCTCTTGCTTGGTGATGCAGCTTTCTAATCGTGTGTTCTATGCTCTCCCTCGTCTTACTACTTACCTCTCGGTGCATGTAGCTGCATGAAGAGAAGTTCCTCAGTCGAATGTCGCAATTGTCCAGCGCATGCCAATGCCAATGTTTGTGCATTCACCTGTTCAGTCTTCAGCGCCTTGTCATGCATGATGTGAGGTCTGCAGCCAGCCTATGACGTAACGCCGCGCGTCCACTGCCGGGCGTTTCAGCCGCGACAGACGGCTTCAATAATGCACCTCCCCGCTAGCGTCATCCTACCATGCACTCCGCATTCACCCACACTCACACACCCACTCACGCACTCTTGCCCTCTCTTGGGTCAGCAATCCTTTCGCTCATACTTACGCCATCCCCTCTTGATTCGCCCATTGCCACAACGGCTTCTTGAGTCGTGTAACTTGGCCCACTACCTTGGTCTCTAGGCGGACGCTGCATCACGATCTATGCGCTGCAATAAGGGGGAGGGGGGCCCGCTGCTGAGCGACATATGGTCAGTTTGAGGCAATGCAATAACTGGCGTTGTCCTACAGCCGCACGGGGGTTGCAGCTCAACAATTATGCCCTTTTGTTTTTAAGCTGCGCCCCTCGTGTATAACACCGACGATCTCACCAACATCCAATAAAACATACGAACATCCCCCCTTGTGTCACGCAAATCCCCCCGTGCCGCAAAGAACCTGCGATTTTAGTATCTTAGAACTCACGCTATCGCTAATATTGCACCGCGATAACGAAACTCTTGTTCTTAAACCTATTATCTATAAACTTAGAAGGGCGGTTGCCAATATTATAGCGTGTTTGGTCCTGTCGTCGCCCATTCCGTATTGACTAGTCGAGGGTTAATTGGCTTCACACCCCTGTCATAGCACGATGTATTCAAGATTTCTACATACTAGAACGGATAAATAATCAAAATATCGTAGAAGAAGACATTTTTACATTCATCTAATATCTTGTCTTTAAATAAGTTGTATTCCAGACTTTTCCGAGTTCTACCCGTGATTCTGTTTTGTTAGCTTGTAACTTTGGCGTGCTTACGTGATAGCGCATCAGTTCATGCTAGGTCGGATTAGGCCAGTGTGGCGTTCAGTTCTCGAAGCATCCATCTGATCACGTGCTGATCTATTTGTAGCATCAGAGCGAGTGTCTTTGTCTTCCAAGCGGCGTGGTAGGGAGGGGGGTGTCTGTCGTGGTGGCCTTCGTGGCAGTATTCACAACACCACGATCGTAGGCATGGCCCAAGCCATTCCCTTTAATCCACCAACAACTCGGACTTCCCCATTGCAGGATAATGCTATCCCATATCACACTCGGTACTATCGCAAGAGTGGACGACCCTCTATGAAGGAGAAGGCCCAAGGCCAGCAATATCTCACCCCAGATGAAGAGAAAGCCCTTATCGCGTATCTTTTACTAATATCTAAACTTGGACAGCCCGCCCGAATTAAGTATGTACCCTTGTCAGCCTTTAGTCTCGCACGCTAACGAACGATAACGACTAGCAAACACATCAAGCCCCCAGGCAAGAACTAGGCTCGGTCTTTTGAGAAACGCAAACCTTGGCTAAAAAGTATAACGGCGCAGGCAAGACTACTCGGATCAGTATCGGCCGTAAGGTCACTCAGAGGCATATGGGAGTGCGTGGGACACAAATGAGCCTTGATTCGAATAGACACCTATAGGCCTGGTACGAAAGGATATCAAAAGTCTATAGAACTAACTACAGGCAGAGTCTCAATATATACCTAGCTTGGTCGGATCCGAATCGGATCCGACTCTAAGAATGCTAGACTGCTGAAGGAGGGCGGCGAATACTCGTTCCGATACGACTCCGGCATGGGTCCGGTACTGGGCAGAACTGTAACGTCGTTACAAAAAGGAGGAAGGTGAAGGTAATAGACTGGCAACGATATAAACGGAATATCTATACTAAGATTATAAACTAGCTATCCCTAGAGGCATAAAAAGGGATATTTTAAGCGCTTTTTACTCTCTTAAGATAGGACATGGTTACTTAAATGCCTATCTAAAAAGATTAAACAGAAGAGACAGTGACCTCTGTAGCTGTGGGAGACCACAGACAGCAGAACACCTTCTTCTATACTGCAGGCACTATAACGCAGAAAGAAAAACGCTTAAGAAAACGCTGAATCCAAAGTCGATTAAAATCCCACTCTTATTCCATACTACTAGCGGTATAGAAGTGTTACAAGTAACAAGAAGGATTCTCTCCTTGACAAGGGACGACGAGGTTGAAAGCCAACCACGTCCACGTCAGTGTTAGGAGCTCAGCCCTGTGCCACTGGGCCACTTCAACCAAAAAGGTACGAGTGATCAGCGTTCTGCTGATGCTCTGCACAGGATAGTATACATAGTCAGCGCAGCGCCTGACAGTCAGAAGGTAATGATCATCGCGGTGCTTGGAGTCACGTGATGTGACATCCCGCCAAGGCTGGCCATCCGGGATGGCAGTGCATATAGGGATGGCAGCGCCATCACAACCATCCCGCCAAGATGGGATGGCAGGACCAAAGGCAATAGATATAAGAATGGGTTGGATTTCATTATTACATTCGTTGTGGTCAACTCTCATAAGTTCTTCTCTTACACAGATTGATACTTAGTTATTCTATCGCACATAGAATTGATTGTTCTTATACTATCGGTTAAACCTTGGTAACTTCATTCTACTACGAATCGCCAGACAACAATCGCACGGCTTACAAGCATCGACCCGTCTCGCCCTAACCCAGACCGAGACTAGGCAAGTATAGCCCAACCCCGTGTAACACTTAGGATTATCGTGATCAATGGCCAGTTCCATCCGCACAATCATCTGTGACAATTAGTAAACACAACTAATATTATACTTCAGGATCCCTACTGCTGAGTTGAGCGCAATAGCTACAATGGCAACATTCGTGATTACCAGGGCAGGCGGTAATGAAACATCTAGCACAATTCCATCTCTTCTGAATATTAACGCTCTGGAGCGGCGATGAGCGCTTAAAAGCCTCAACGCGCTTTAGACCCTCAACGTGCCTAGGATTATAGGCAGCTATCAAGGATAAGGTGCTTAGCGTGAAGAATAGAGTAGAGACTATGACAAAAGTTAGTATATAAACTAACGTGTTCGGTTTAAGAGTGAATCTAGATTACACTTCATATTCCAGAGAGATGCGTGATAGTTGAGTAAAACAACACAATTGCTAGGGAAGAAAGTAGGTGGTTCAAAGTAGAGTTGCACGATGGCTGTTAGCGAAGTGTCTAAAGAGTAATATATAGTAAAACTTTAAATCAGTCAATTTATAAATGCATAGCACTTCCTCTAAACAAGTGCTAGTTAGTGCTTATCAAAGCTAAGTATAACATAAACTAGCGCTGAGATAATCGAGTCTTACTATGCTACAT